TATCTACTCTCTAATTGAGGTAACTTTAAAATTTTTTATTATACTATTCAATTATATATATCAATGTTATTTTTGTTGGTAACCAGAATTTTTTTTTCGTTGCAGAATTTGTACAGAAACTTCATTTCATCCATAAATTAATGATTTTGGAGTATTTTAATGGTTGTGGAAAAATAAAGGCCGATTGTTACCTTGTCGGTAAAATAGTGAGATATACTATAAAAAAATATAAATTACAAACATCAGCTTAGTCGGTAATTTGCCAACGTGAAAAGTGCCCTGCAATACTATTCCGGCAAGACAGTTGCAGACAACAATCTTGTCGGTAATTGATTTTATTTTACCGACGTGAAAAGCACTCTGACAGTACTATTCTGGCTAGAGGGTTAAAGACATGCTTTTAGTCGGTAACTTCTAGCCATTTACCGACGTGACTTAAAGCTACATCGGTAAATGAATTACCGAGCCCACTTTCACCGACAAAGCCATTTCCGACATGATCCAAGTTGGAACCTTGTTTTACCGACCTGATTACCTTTATTTCCGACATGATTTCTCCTCGGTGAAATTATGAATTCTTGTAGTGAATGGAAGTGATGCAATGCAGCAATAGAATCTTTGTTTCACAACAAAATATGCCAAAGACCTTTTTAGAAAGTTCAGAATGGATAAATGCAAGCCAATTGCCACTCCTCTTTCACAGAATCTGAAATTGTCTAAGGATGATGACAGCTTGAAGTGTAATGCTTCATTTTACAAAAGTTTGATTGAGAGTTTGCTCTATCTTACAACAACAAGGCTTGATCTTATGTTTGCTGCCAGTCTGCTATCAAGGTACATGACTTCACCATCTCAAACTCATTTCAGTGCTGCAAAAAGAGCTCTAAGATATGTAAATGGAACTGTTGATTATGGAATTATGTATAAGTCTGCAAGTGATGGTTCTTTGCAAGGCTATGTGGATAGTGATTGGGTAGGATGTCCTAATGACTCAAAAAGTACTACAGGATATGTTTTTTCATTTGGTTCAGGGATGTTTTGCTGGAATTCATCCAAGCAAGAACCTGTAGCACAATCTATGGCAGAAGCAGAATATATTGATGTTGGAGCTACCTCTAATCATGCTATATGGTTGAGGAAAATATTGAATGACATAGGACAACCTCAAGTTCTGCCATGTGTGATCCAAATTGACAACAAATTAGCCATTGCAATTGCTAAAAATCTAGTTCAGCATGGAAGAACAAAGCATATTCATGTGAAGTATCATGTGATCAGGCAATATGTTAAGGAGAAGAAAATTAAGCTTCTGCACTATGACTCTGAAGTTCAAGCTGTTGATATTCTCACCACATCCTTGCCAAAATCCAGATTTGAAACTCTAAGGTCTATGCTTGGGTTAACAAAGAAACCTCTCAAGGAGGAGTGTTGAAGATAAATGACACAGTGCAACCAGTATTGTTCACGTGAACTGTTCACGTGCAATGTTTATATTCAGTTCAAGTTCAATTAAGTTGCTCAGAAGTTTCTTTTGTTGATTTTCCAATGTAATCTCTATGTATCTTTGATGTTAAGTGTTTACCTAAAAATGTAGGCTAGCATTAATTGTATGCTGCACCATGGCCTTGCTTTATGGGGATTATATTATTATTTAATTGTAGGTAAACAATGTAATGTGCTGGCAATGTTATGTATAAAAGAATATGCCAAAAACTGATGAAAATGTATGGAAAATTAATGAGAAAAATCTGAGCATTATCTCTAGCTCATTTTGTGTCATTTCCTTCATCTTTCACATGTTTCTTAAGATTCATTTCTTGAGTTTTATGTTGGTTTGAATTAGTTTCTCTTAATTGATCTAACATATAGATCTCCCGTGCTATGCAGTTATGACTTTTCTTCAAGAGACCCAGTCTAATCGATGACTAAAGTCCCAGTCACAACCTGAATAGGTATCATCTTGCAATGAAACCTCTCTTTGGGAAGTATGACGCCTCTCCTTCTCTTGCAATCGGCCAATCGCGATGCTTTGAGTTCTTTTTCAACATCGAAGAATGAATTTGAGGATGATGAAGCCATTTTCTAGAAAGTACTCTTGTCTCTTGCTCGCAAAAAAGAAATAAAATTTCTTTCAAATTATGTTAACTTGCTACAATAAGCATGGGAAACTAAAGAAATTGTTCAGATCTCTCTTGATTTTGAACGCAGGTCGCGCAATTTGAAAACTAGGGTTTAGTTTTAGTTGAGGTAATTTGGGGAAAAGTTTTGCCCATTTTAATGCCAGAAACAGAGGAAGTCCCTGGCTTAGATACCATTTTTTCTTTAAAATTTTAATACAAAAATTCAATGCCGTGAAACGACACCATTTTGGTGGCTGCAACTTCTTCGAGGTTCTTTTGTCTACCTAAATCCTCCCCTAAGTTATTCACCCAAAAAAAAAAAAAAAGAAAATCTTCCTTGAGTTGAGTGCATTGGTTTTATGCTGCCAATCTTGCCTGAGTTAACGCCATTTTGGTGGCTGAAAGATATTTCCCTCTGTTGCCAATTTCACATAGACTTCCTGAAATTAAACCCTGAAATGCAAGGTTTTTAAAACCGAATCGGTCATTGAACAGTTTTCAGGTTTGGTTTCTGATTCAATCAGTTCAATCGGTTGAATCGATGAACCGACCGATCCAAACAGCAAGGAAAATCCAACGAGATGAGCAAGCTGCAAGCGGGATTTTCTAATTT